TAGGCAAAATTATGCATGTAGCATTGCTGCATGCGATGCAATTTAAGAAGAAATATTTATGTGAAGTGGTGCTGCTGCTGCTGCTGCATTTTTTTAAGTACTGTAAAATTATGTGGTGTCAATGTAACGTAATCGAGAAATATTTATATATGTGCCTAAGCTACATTGCTTGCCATATTTTATGCATTTTCTACGAATTTATGTATGGTAAAGGTTGGTAATAGTTTTGAAATAAATGTTTCACGTGGTTGCTGATTTTCTAGAAATTTATGTATTGCTATTAAAGAAGGAAATTTTTGGTGTATTTTTTGGGGGTATATATTTTTTCTAGAAATTTATTGTAAAATGGGGGACACGTAATAATTTGAGCTCAGGCATATCTGAGCTAAAAGTGTGTAAAATTGTGTAATGAAAATGCTTTTTTAGAATAAATGTGCAAAATTTTTACTGTATTTTTTTAATCAAATACGCATTTTCTACGAAATTTTGTGCCGCTATTAAATATTAGTGTAAAACGACAGACAATTTTAATAGTTAAACAAGAAACCGGCAAAATTGTCTGATCGAAATGCCCTTTTAGAAGAAATATGCACAATTTTTACTACATTTTTAGCAAATATTTACGCATTTTCTACGAAATTTTCTAAATATTATTATAAAACGGCAGACAATTTGAATGAATCCTGAGCTGGTAAAAGTGCAATAAATCTTGTTTGATCATTAGCAACATCGTGATTTAGCACCAGAGCTAACTAATCCTAAGCAACAATCTCTTCTCATTTCCTCCTCCCCGTCTCCGTCCGTATCTGCTGCGATGGTGTTGCTGTCCGTGTATATCATTTTGTTTCAACATTCTCTTATATTCATCATCTCTCGTCTCGCTGGTGGAGCTTGGTTTGGTCGAAATGGTGCAGTCAGTCAACGACCTTCCTTGAAATCATTATTGGGGTTCAGGTGAAGTGGAGTGAGTGCAATTAATGCAGATACATGCACGACACAAAAATTGCAAGGTTGGTAGGTTTCGTTGGTCGGAGAGAGAGGGAAGAATAGCGTACGTAACATGTAATTTTTTGGTATGAAGGTGCTCCGTTGGTTGGTTGGTTGGTTATTTAAATTGTTGAGTTACTGCTAGTACGGAGGAGCAGAGATGCGCAGAATATGGCATGTTGAGGTTAGATTTTGGATTTTTGGGGGGGTGTTACAGCCACAAAAAGGTGGGAAAATGCAGGATTTGTGAAGAAATTGGTGGTTTAAAGATGCCAAAATACTTTATTGTGAAAAAAAATCGTAGCTTGAGCTGAGTTTTTCCCAGGGTTTGGATTTCCGGGGGGTGTTACACACAAAAAAGACGAAAATCTATGTGGAGAAGACAAAACTCGTACGAAAATACTGGTTTTTTTTTAAAAAATTAACATTTTATAGCTGTCAAAATATTTTATTTTAAAAAAATCCTGAAAAAAATGTATTTTGAACGCGATGAAAAAGTTAATTTCTTAACAAAACCCGTATTTTCGACGGACTGTTGCCTTCTTCAGTAGATTTTCGTCTTTTTGTGAGTGTAACACCCCCGGAAATCCAAACCCTGGGAAGAACGGGGCTCAAAATACTAATATTTAAATATTTCTGCTCAAATATTTTGCCCACCTCTGCCTAGTAGGAAATTATATTTTGTACTTTATTGTCATGCCTCTCACTCCCTTCTTATATATCCTTGCCTGCTTTGTTTGTGAGTGAAGAATTGTAGTAAAATGTTATTGATTTTGACAGATTTTATTACCCCTAAAAATCTGGTTATTATATCGTACGTCTCGTTTATCGAGGTAGTAGATGTGGAGTGAGTGAGTTTAACTTTAAACAGGATTTGTTGTATGTACATATACTCCAATTTTTGAGAGACGTTGTCGATCGTCAATTTTTTAAATGCGATTTCAGGCGTAATGTAGGTCTTGTGTGTTTACTCGCTGGTTTGGTTGGTTTTTGGTGGAAGGAAGAAGGGTTTTGGCTTAAATTGTTGGGGAGGATGCTACTTTTTTGTGTACTCCTGAATTAGTAAATACGGCGAGATGGTGACATTAATTGGGGAGTGAGGAAGTAATCAGTCTTGTAAAATGGTGCATGGGTTCCTAATTTTGTAGGTGAAATGTGCAATGAATTTGAATAATGTCACCTTCGAGATGAGCGAGCAGGTCGTGACTTTTTGGAGGATTTGAGATATTTTTTTAAATTCAAAGTTGTACGATGGAAATAATGGGAAGAATTTTGAGATGCTAGGGAGTGAAAATACATTTCTGGGCGTTTTTGAGATGGAAATATTTAAATTCGTGGCGTTTTGAGCATGGAAATATTTAAATTCGTGGCATTTTGACCATGCAAATATTTAGATTTGTGGCATTTTGGGCATGGAAAATTTTAAATTTGTAGTATTTTGGATTGGATATGAAACTATTTTAATTCATGGCGTTTTCGTTATGAAAATAAATTCATAGAGTTTTTTCATGCAAATACATAAATTCGTTGCATTTTACACATGAAAATACACACATTCCTAAAATTTTATGAATCCTTGGAATTATATTTTTATGAAAATAAGTCCCTGACATTTTGAGAAAGTTCAAAATTCCTTGATACAACTTGCATATCATTAATTTAGGACATGCCAAAAATACAATTCCACATACTCATTTTCACCCAGCCATGTGTGCAATTACCCCGTAAATTTATTATTTTTCAAGGAGACAAGCCATTATCACGCGTTAACAATAAATGTCTGCCATGCACTTTGCAACGATTTACGTACATACATATGCATTTATAATACTATGACATATGCAAATATCACCCATCATAAATATAGAGATGAGCGACTTATGGTCACCAGTCACCACACAATTTCTTTATCCACCCATAAATAAAGTCTTCTTCTTCTTCTTAAGCCGTCTTCTCTCTATTCTCCATGTGAGGAGAACAATGGAGGGCGAACAGTTCGTCAAACTTGGATTGGATTCGATTTCGCTGTGCAAAATTGTTTATTGTTTTTGCAACGAATTTAATTTGCATCATCTCCTACGAAATCTTGTACGTTACACGTTACAGATTTTATTTTTAGCATGAGAAGGCAATCGCCGTTGTCAGTGGGCGCGGAAGCTAAGTGGGGACATTAAGATTGTAGGACAAGATTTATATAAGATGGGGAGATGATGCACTCTAAGAAACCCGGTAACTAAGTTATTACCAGGCGGAGTATCGATGTGACTCTACCGCATGGTAATTTATTTATTATTGCGAGGTACCATTTTGTTACCAATCCGGTAATAACCCCGGTCGCGAAATTTGAAAACATTACCAGTTGGTAACAAAATGTCTACCACTCAATAATAAATAAATTACCATGCGGTAGAGTCACATAGATACTCCGCCTGGTAATAACTTAGTTACCGGGTTTCTTAGAGTGTGCGGACATCGAACAACCGTGGGGACATTGTCTCTCCCTTCCGCGGCCACTGACATATTGATGATGCATGCAAAAAGAGTGAAAGAGACCGAAGGAAGTAGTGTGTGTGTTATCTAAGATAAGCAGTTTGGCATGTAACGTGAGATGCGGTTTGAGCTGCAGTAAATGGATCTCTGCTAAACGGAGAGGAGGTCATTGTGCTGAGAGTTCGGAAGGACGAAGGAAAGTCATAATATAGCCCCACTTTATACGAGATGAGATGGTGTCATTTTATTTTATGTTGAGCAGCAGCACAGAGAATTGCACTTATGTATGTATGCAATGTGCGAATAATGATGCGATGCTTCCATTTTCTGCGGTATGTCACGTCTACTTTCATTCATTAAGCGGAGAAGAGTGAGACGAGAGGGAATAAGTAAACAAACTTTTGCTGGCAGATTATGTATTTTTTAGCAAGGACTGAAAGATGTATTCCAGTGAAAGTGTGTATAAATAGGTGCATGATGAGATGACCAGGGGGCGGATATGTATTTATTTATGGTCAACTTTTGCATTTCAGGACGACTGACGGTCAAACTTTGTGGGTGTGGGCCTTAACTCGGATAGAAATTGCAAAATATATTTGCATATTTGCACATATTTTTATGTTTTAAGACAAATATATTCGCTATCATTTGAAAAACTCGTAAGCCGTTTACATATTTTTTTCAAAAATACGTATATATTTTGTAAATATTTCAACGAATGTGACAGACAAAATTTTGTGAGCGAAAAAAATTGGATCACAAAAATCCAGAGGGTTGCATTCAAAAGTACAAATGATGTTAAAATTCATGGCTTTTAGGGTAAATATTTTGACGTTTTTGTTTTTCAAATATTGAATACATAACCGCCCTGTGATGATCCCTCTTGAATTTATGTAAATATGCAGTGGGATGGACGATGTTGAAATTTTGGTGTAAAATATGCTGACTTTGGCATTTTCCAGACCGAGGTTTGTGGTTGACTGACTTTACTTACGTACATCAATAATAATGAATAAGTGAATGAGTTAGTAGTGAGCTGCTTTATGTATATTTCGTACATATTTTACATTAATTACTCATGCACGAAGGAGCATGAGAAGAAGAACCACATCAAATATGACTTGTTTATGATGAGGAGGAAAACAGTGGCCGCGGAAGAAGAAGTGTGGACAGAGGGACAATGTCCCCACGGTTATTATTCGATGTCTGCATCATCTCCCCGTCTTATATAAACCACTCCCTCCCCCCATCTTACGTTAAAACGTTAATGTCCCCCGATGTCCCCACGGCTTCCGCGGCCACTGCCCGAAAATTATGTATTATTGGGTCGTTAGTGATGTTGCGATGATGAGACGGACATTTTAATTTGATTGAGGTTTTTGGTTATATGCTGATTTATTTATGATGACGAGTAACATGTTACATTCATAAATAGTTAAGTGATGTGGAAGATGATGAGAAATTTTACATATTGGGAATTTTGACTGATTAATTAATAAGTTTCTGAATTTCTAATTTTTTAGGTTTGTGATGAGCTTCAAATCTTCTGTTCAAGGTGCTCACCCGAACAACTGGAAGTCTTAAAGGTGACTGGGGTGCTACCGATGGGTAAGTGGAAATTGTGGTTAATTTTTGATTTGCATATTATTCGCAGTGGATATTTATTGCGAATTTTGAAATTTGAATTGAGCGACGGTAAAATTTTGTGTCTGGATTTCAACACAACTCTTGCAAAAATCATTCAAATTTCAAAATATTTTCGAAATTGTCACACATTTCAAGGTTTCAGAAATATTTACAAATATTTCCGCTATTCAAAAATACATACATTTCTTAAATAATTTCAACGATGTGAGACGAAATTTTTTTTTGCTTAAAGAAATTCGACCAGAAAAAATCCCGAGTATTATGGAAATTCAGAAATATGTATTTTGCAAAATGCTTATTTGTATGATTCTTTTTTATCGTACGACATATTTCGTAAACATTTGAGCGTTATTTTCGTAAATATTAAATATTTCCATGATTTAAATAAGAATTTGGCCAAAACTGCAGAAAAATTCCAAATTTTGGCGTTATTGTCATACATATTTGCCTGATTTTCAACGTGTGATCTCTTTTTAGGTGCTCATTCTTGCGGACTCATCACGAAAACTGATGCTGAGCGTCTAGTCAACGCGCTTTTGCACCGGGTAGGAAATAATAATTACGGAATGGAATGGAATGTTAAAGAGTTTTTGAAAATAATGAAATTTTTTTCACTTTCTTAACTTGAAGAATCCCCCGAAAGCGGCGGTGGGTTCGGTGGCGGCTCGGTCCGGAGCGGCGGCGTCGTCCCCAAACAACGCTTTCCGCGTGTATCACAAATGCTTCGGGAAATGCAAGGGGATCGTCCTCTCCAACTTGTACGATCGAATGGACTCGCTATGCATTGAGTAAGTCAAGTTTTTTTTTCGGAAATTTTAGGGTAAAAGTTTCAGAAACTTAAGTTGATACGAGCGGAGGATGAAGGTGCATTCATTTTCTGGTAACTTACGCCATGGTTGCGCGATAAGTATGGCGCAAACTGAAACATAGACGACTTATGATTAGGATGCGTATTATATTTTGTTCGTTGGGTAAATTTTCGGAAATTTTGGGGATAAAAGTTTTGGAAACTTGTTGACAGAGAATGAAGGTGCATTTAATTAAGTAAATATGTATGTATATACGATATTTTTTGGTAACTTGCGCCATGGTTGAGCTATAAGTATGGCGCAAATTGAAGTATTTATATAGCTGCCTAAAAAATTAAGAGTCTGTTACCTCCGATCTTTTTGAGGATTGAGTAAGTTTCTGGAAATATTCGAGGACGAAATTTGGGGAACTTATTTTTATTGCTGGGCAGAGAATAAAGGTGTATTTGTAACGATGTTTTTTTGTAATTTATGCAAAAATCGAGTCATAACTATGGCGCAAATTGCATAGCTTTGATTAAGACGTCTGTTACTTGGTGGATTTGCTTTGCATCCTGTTAGAATTTTACGAGTGACACACTGTCATCAGAAATTTTGGCACGTTTCTTTCCCAGTTTTTGTGGCGTGTGCGTGTCAATTTTATTGATTTCTCACTCCTCGTCCAGCCAAATTGTTACTTGGTTATTGTTCTGTTCACCCATCCAATTACTCCCTGAAATTGATTATGATCTCAAAAAGTGGTGGTGAACGTATGCAGCAGAGGAAACAATAATTAGAGTATGCTCAGCAAAAGTGGTGGACGTCCAATAATTAGAGGAATTCTAAGTAATAATCGAATGTCTCCACATTACATATTTGTAATAATTACAATCCACGTACATACATAAATCGAAAAGTGAAGTTGTTCTGTGCGAGACGTCGGGAGGCACATTAACACTACCAATTTAAGAAGAAATTACGCCCAGACAATTATTTTAATTATCCCGCTTGCGGCAATGGTGGACGCATTTTTGACCGACCGGGATTTTGGCCAGGGTTTCGAGGGCAGGTAGATAATCACTTGGGAGAAAGAAAGTGGTTTCGGGCAGGTGAATATTTTGACGTGCGAGAAACTAGTTCCCGACGCTATACTTCATACGGCGCGTGGCTAGATTGCGCGTATTTCTTGCACTTTCTCCCAGTTTCTTGCACCTCGCATTTCTCACTTTTCTTGGCTTGTAGTGCAAGAAATGTGGCAAACCCGCAAGAAACAAATACTAGGTGCAAGAAATAACGGGTAGAAAACGGTTTCTTGCAGGTAAATAATTTGACCTGCAAGAAATGCAAGGTGCAAGAAACTCCTTCCCGCCGCAATAAATAGATCACAGGGCGCGTGGCTAGATGGCGCATATTTCTCGCATTTTCTCCCAGTTTCTTGCGTTTCAGTGCAAAAAAATGTGGCAAACCCGTAAAAACGAAATACTATGCTTGACTTTTATTCGAGATTATTTGAATAAATCTGTCGAGGTGGATGCCACTTGATCTCCCCCAAGTTTGGTAACATTTCCATATATTTTCGAATTTTGGGGTTGTAAATATGGTGACAGATTTCAATTTTGGGGTTGAGAGCGGATGGTTGAATATGATTTTATTTATTACGGCGTAATGAAGTCTCGCCGCAGGAGGAGGTCGTCGCAGAAAGGAAATTATTATCCTAAACATATGCTCCTCACTCACTCACTTATTTACTCGTTTTGCACTTGGCTGCGTAAGAAATAAGTTGTCCAAAATCCAATCCAAGTCAGTGACCGCGGAAGCCGTGGGGTCATGGGGGAGGGAGGGGTTTATATGTGTAAGATAGGGAAATGATGCGACATCGAACAACCGTAGGGACATTGTCCCTCCGTCCCCACGCTTCTGCGGCCACTGCATCATATTTGAGTAGCCTGAAGCTTTAGGGTCATCGGGGGACATTAGTGTTGTAGGAACATATGTACCTGTTCAAAAATTCAGTTTTCATTCAAGTCAGTCATCCTGATTTCTGATTGATGATTTTCGTTCACATTCATTCATTTTCTTTCAAATTCATTTCACTTCACTTCATCTGATTTCATTTCTTACTTCACCCCATGTATTAAGCATAGAGTGAAAAATGAAATGAGTGAGAAATCTTTCATTCATCTGAAATGACGGAATCTTTCAATCATTTTCACTCAAATCACAGGAAATTCATTTTAATTCATAATTACTCAAATGAATGAAAATGAACAGGTATAGTTTGTATAAAATGGGGGCATCGAACAACCGTAGGGACATTACCCCTCCGTTCCGCGGCCACTGATGCACTATCCACTCAGGCATGAAATAGGATGGAGCGAGGGGGTAATTTTCCCCTGAAAGTGACAAGCACAACTAACTTTTTGAGGGAGATGTGTCACTTCACCTCAAAATTGTCGAGGATGAAAATAAGTAAATAATTACAGCCTTCTGATTTCATTTTACGGCCACTTCTTCTTCGAATTCTCTCTCTCTCTCCTGCCCCTGACAGGTTTTCGTTTCAGGATGAGATGTTTCGAGTTTGTGGTGAAAATTTATGTCAAAAAGTGGGAATTGTACAGATTTTTTTGTATGAATTTTTTTTTCATGAAAATCTGCAGATAAAAAATGCTTGTAAATATAGCAAGTTGGGTGAGGATTTGATCTCGTAAAGTGTGAGCTTGTGAGAATTTGAGTCAAAAAGGGATTTTTTGAGGGGAAAATTGTACAATTTTTTTTATATGAATTGTGGAAATTTTTTTGATGAAAATGAGTAAAACACACGAAAAATGCACGTACATAGCGGATTTGATCTCGTAAAGTGTGACTTTGTGGCGAGAATTTGTATCAAAATGGGATTTTTTAAGGGGAAATTGTACAATTTTTTTCAAGATTTGTTTATGAAAATTCGAAATTTACAAAAAATTTAGTGTGAATAGTTGTCATTTCGATCTCATAAAGTGTGAGAATTTATTTCAAAATGTGGATTTTTTCATGAGAAAATTGTTCAAAATTTTTTTTACCATGAATTACGGAAGATTTTTTTTATGAAAAAAATTTCATGTAAATAGCGACTGCTTTTAACGGAGGATGGAGTTTTATTCAATGCACTTCGACTTGACCGCGTGGGTGGTTAAGCTGTATAATAATTTGTCTGTGTACATACATCCATTTCAACTTTGGGGTCGTATCGTGCTAATGGATGCAAGTTTTTAACAATGTATTTTATTTTATGCCATTTATTCCCACCCACATCGTTAAAAGATTATAGATGCGGACAATCCTACCGGATTTGCATTGAAATTGCATATTTTGTTGGGCTAGCCAACCAGCCAGCCAGACGAGCACTTGTTGATCTCTTATTTGTCACTTATTTACGTTTACTGGGCAGTAAATCTGGCTAAAACCTTTTAATAACTGGGGACACTCTTTAATTTCACATCTCCACCAAAAATGGGAGTACTGCGCATGTACAGAGGGTGAATGTCTGGTATGTGATGGATTTTTCTCGAAATTTGCATATTTTTAGGAGAAAGACGTAGTTTAAATTGACCCTGGAAAAGTACTCCGGTCAGAAAATGTGAATAATGACGGTGTTAATGTTTTATAATATTTTAACTCCGTTAAAAATATACTGCTTGACCAATCGAATAGAAAATCATTAACATATTTATATATCTTCAGGATAATATATTCAATTTTTGAAATTATTTTAAATTTCAATCGTCATTTTAAGGCAATTTTTTGTAGCTACTCTTATTTTTGGAAGTCGAAAGGGTTGAAATTCATGAAAAAAATTGATAAATTTCAAAAGTGTGGTTGGTCACACAGGTAAAATTTGAATAATCAAATAGAAAATCATTAAAATATGTATCTTGAATTCAATTTTGAATCTTCCATCGTCCTTTTTGATACTTGCAGTCAAGGAAAGAGGGTAAGATTTAGCCGAAGAAGAGCTAAATTTAGCTCCGGCTTTATTTAGCCGACCCTTAGCTAAATTTAGCTCCGAAGGGTAAATTTTGCTCAAAATCTTCCGCCAAATTTAAATTATTCAATCTATAGCTATGAATTTAAAATAACCTTCGCCTTTAAGTTTTTGTAACGACGGTGGGCCAGATCACACAAAGCTGGGCCATTGCTTATTTGTCAATTGAAACCTGCTTAATTTACCTAAATTGACAAAAGCAACCGTCAGTGCATAATAAAGGCGGTCGGTCTTTTCAAAGTCTGACCAAGATAAATTTAGCCGAAGGTCAGCTAAATTTAGCTCTTTTTCAGAGCAAAATTAGGCTCGAGGAGCTAGATTTAGCTTTCGGAGCTAAATCTAGCTCCGGATCGGCTAAATAAAGCCGGAGCTAAATTTAGCTCTTCTTCGGCTAAATCTTACCCTCTTTCCTTGACTGACTTGTAAATAGGGTCGAAATTCATGAAAAAATGGAAAGATTAAAAATTCCAAAAGTATATATTTATGGTTGGTGGTCACATAGGTAAAATTCACCTTTTGTAAATGGGAGGGATACGATATGTAAGATAAGAGAGCTCTTTAAAAATTTAATATTGTGAATTAACTCACTATTGAAGAGGGTAGAATTCACTAATAAGGGAACGGATCAGCGAACCGTACCAATCACAATATTTATCACGGGGATTGGGGGGTTTATAATTGGTTCGTACATATACATACGCAGATTGTGGTTTGGTTTGGTTTGGTCATGAGATCAGAAATTATGGTCATGCTGGCGTCAGTTACTTAGCAAGTTTCATTTCGTTATTTCATTGTGCGGCACATATGCGAGGAGGGATGTGACACTTGTAAGATTCATTGAGTTAATTTGTTGGGAATTTGTACTTGGTAATTTCCCCGAGGACACGGCATGATTTTTATTTAGGTCTCCTTCCCCGCCCACCCAATTTGCGGGGAGAGAAAGAGGGACAGACAGATCGGTATTGATTCGGGGCAGGGT